ATTAACTCGTAATCTTAACAATTAACCTGTAACTTTAACAATCTCCCAATACAAACAAAACAGATAATTTCTCTCATCAACAATAAAAATAATAAAAAATAAAAATAATAAAATAATAATTCTCATCAATCATTTCAACTATCAGTAACATCATGATAGAGAGAGAGAGAGAGAGAGAAGGGTATTATGGTCTTCACATATTTTAATCTCTTAGGTTTTGTGTTTTGGGGGCTCAGAGAATAAAATCTTTATTTTTGAGGGGGTAAAGTACCCGTTGACAAAGTCTTGGGGGGGCACGTTTTTTTGGGTTTTGAGGGCTGAAAGCATTTTCCCCTTTGATTATTGATTTTAGTGGTTGTTTTTACTATTGATTTGGATTTTGACATGAAAGCCTATTTCTAAGGTGAAGCCTTCAATTTTATACTTTCTTGATCGGAATTTTGTTAAAGATGGCTATTAAAGTAATGAGACTTAATATCACTGAATCTTTAAACATCTTGCAAATTACTATCGCATATTTTGAAATTAGTCCTTCATATCTATAAACATCTTCTAAATTACTACCTCAAATTAAACATTTGTCCCTCAAATCTCTAAAGATTTTAAATTACTCTCTTTAAACATCTTGCAAATTACTACCTCAAATTTAAAATTAGTCCATTAATTCTTAGACATTTTGAAATTATTCCCTCAAATATTCATATCTACAACAATAGAACTGTATGGAGTTTATGCATGATTGAGCAATAGTACAAGGGTCTACGTACAATTAACACTATAAATCTATTATAGAACTATCAGATTGGTATATTTTATTGACATATATGACAGATTTGCATATTTGCTTCATCTGGCAATAATTTGGTATATTACAGTGTTAAATCGACCTTTTTTTTGGCCGGAGCCCAAATTACGGCCAAATTAGATCATGTGACTCCTCATGTGTAGCCGACGTGGGTTAGGTGGGCTTACGTGGTAGGGTAATGATTATAGAAAAAAAAAACCCCAATCCCCCCCCCCCCCACCC